GTAGCAACCTGAAATACGCTGAGAAAACAGATTACTGAGGTGAAATGGAATCTGCTACGGCACTATTGCTGTCTGTGTACGCCACAGGTCGGTATCGTGTGTGTGTGTGTGTGGGTGGGTGGGTGTGTCTGTGTGTGGGTGGGTGGGTGTGTGTGTGTTCTCATTTTTGTTAAGAGGCTGAAAAGTAACTTTTTAGAGCATAGACTACCTCCATCTAGTGATGTCGGTCTATTGATTTTGATGTATTGATTGAAAATTGTTCATTATTACCTTGGTTAATTAACATCTAATGTTAACTGTACTACATTTTATAGCAGTAGGGTAAAATGCTTGTCTTTGTTCAAAAGACTGTATTAACTGTAAAGACTGTCTTTTACATCAGCCTGTTTTCAGGGCCTTTTTTTTGGCTACATATTTGTTATTTTTTGCTACATGCCTCCCCATCTTCTTGCCATATGTTTCTATGGCATAAATCAGTGTCTGTGACCTGTTTTCATTTAAAAAAAAGAACATTGGCACAAACCTAGCCTGTATGTATTTTTTTGTATGTCATCGAGAGTATTTAAATGATCAGAAAAAAAATTTGCGATTAAAATGCGATTAATCGCGAGTTAACTCAGGCATTGATGCGAAAATCGCGATAAAAAAAATTTAATCGATTGACAGCACTAATATATATATATATATATAGCTAGATAGAATTGATATATACAATATAATGAGTGGCTTTGCAATACATACATACATACATACTTAGACTAATGCTACGTTCACACCTAAAGCAACAGAGAAAGCAGAAGGAGCCAGTTTACATGCAAAGTCAATGTTTGGCGCGCATCGAAGCGCAGCAAAAGGTCCTGCAGCATGTTTCGAGCAGCGCGTCTGAGCATCTGTGGAACACGCTCCTTTATTACCTGACTGTTAATGAACAAGCAGGTCTTCAGAAGTGTGATTTTTTTTTTTCTCGGTTTGCAAAACCTGTTGAGCAAGAAATCCATGAGGAGGAAAAAATTTTTTAACATAACAAAACTTATAGCTCACCTGAATAATTGTCACTGTGGCAAAGCAATATGGAAACAATGCGAAGCAGCTGCGGTGGCAGGTAGCGGTGCTAAGGCTAAGACAACAACAACATGGAGGACAGATGTCTCCATTCAGAGGTTTTAAAGCTGTAAAAAGTTTTCCAGAGGGTGAAAAATTTAAAGCTATTAACGACAAAGTGATGGAATTTACAGCGCCTGACAACCATGGAATTTACAACCTTCCCTGCTTCAGCAGAAGAGATTCTGCTGTCCAAAGATGGCTGCCACCAGTCTGGGTCTTTGTTTGTGTGCTTGCGCTGAGCTACGATTTTTATGTGTTTTTGTCCTTTTTATGTGTTTTTATGTCCTTGGCTTCTACAAATCCTAACCAAGGAAGATATTTCTTCCCAGAGACTTGTGCTTGCTGAGTATTTTCTTTATACTTGGATCTATCTTAAAAGGAGAAGGATTACTGTCACTGGCCTGCTGAATGAGCTGGGAACTTGAAGTCTGCTTGTCTTCTGGGGGGTCTGCTTCACCTGACTACTGAAGGATGGCTTGTATAGTGACCAAAACTGATAATTTTGGAGCCACTTGATCGGGTTGGGGCCTGGTTTGTCCCCCGCACCTGGGTAGTAGCTTGAAGCAATAGCTTGGATTAGCTTAGCCATGCTCTTCCTGCAAAACAGCAATGTGGACTTGATGTCATGATCCCTGATGCTGCCTGCTGGTTAACATGCTGCACATGTGAAGCATCTCAGGATAAATTAAATCACAACCAGTTTCACGGATCAGTGAAAAGCCAGTTTTTTGTTGATCAGCACATTTGGACCAGTGAATCATCTCAGATTACTTTACAAGATTCTCTAAACTCTACAGTGAGCCCTTGGAACCTTTTTGCTTGCTCAGCCTATGTTTTATGTTTTTATGTTTTATGAAAGCACAATGCATTTTTTACTATTTTTACTACTCACAGCATTTAATGATGGATTTAAGTCAAGGCCATCCAAATTTATTGATGATCATAAGTGGGTGAGTACACTGCAAATATCTTATTCTCCAACTAAGGATGCATGCAGCTATCACCAGCTCATCCATCCTGGACAGCAACAAACACTCTACAACCATTTAACACAAAGGAGCCCCTCACTACAGCTGCTAATAGTGAATGCCTTAAAAAACTACTCTACTGTGCAACATGGACTCTCATCACACTCGTCAGCCAATGACTGTGATGAAAAACACACAGGGAATACCAAAGCTATTGTCTTACTACTTTTGCTGTTATCTGGGAATGTACAGCCAAATCCTGGGCCTGATACACAACAAAATATATATTCTCCATGTGACTTCAAAAACAGATCCGGACTTGGAATAATGCATTTTAACATCAGAAGTCTCCTTCCAAAAATGGACATGCTAAGACTGTGGGTTGATGCAACGGATATGGACATCATGGTCTTATCAGAAACCTGGTTAAAATCTACAATTACAGACAATATGATTGCTATTGATGGCTATAATATTTTCAGAGCAGATCATTTAGGTAAAGGGGGCGGAGTTGCTATGTATGTGAAATCAAACTTTTTAAGCTCAGTGGAATTGTCAGTAAGTAGAGCCAAACAATTTGATCTACTGGCACTGAAAGTAAATTTATACAAGGACACACACCTGACTGTTGTTGGCTGCTACAGGCCACCCTCCGCTATAAAATAAACTATTTCTTCTCTCTATGATGTACTCTTAAACCTTAAGGACTCCGAAGTAATTCTAATGGGTAACCTTAATTGGGATTGGCTTTCTCCTGCCTCTGAGAATATTAAAGAGCTATCTGTCTCTCTAAATTTCACACAACTTATTGACACCCCAACACGTATCAACCCGAGAGATCATAGCAAATCAACACTGTTGGACGTCATTCTTACAAACATGCCACATAAATATACATCGTCTGCTGTTTTTTGTAATGATGTCAGTGATCACTGTGCGATTGCTTGTATAAGAGACACAAAACTACCTAAACATAAACCTCGTTATGTTTTTAAAAGGTGTTTTAAAACTTTTAATGAACAGGCTTTTATTCATGATTTGTACAATTGTAATTTGGAAAATGTCTGTCAGATACCTGATGTAGAACATGCCTGGGAATATTTTCATAATGCCTTTTCAGCTATCTGTAATAAACATGCTCCTATAAAGAAATTTAGGATTAGCGGGAGGAACAATCCTTGGTTTACTGAAGAGTTAAGTCATAAGATCAGAGAAAGAAATGTTGCATGGGGAATAGCTCAAGTTACAAATTCTACTGCTGACTGGACTGCTTTCAGAACTGTAAGAAATAAATGCACAAGCATGACCAGAAAAGCTAAATCAGATTACTATCTAAAAAATGTGTCTGAAAACCTCAATAACCCCGCTAAATTCTGGAAACAAATTAAGTCTCTGTCTAATTCCAATTCTTCGTCTGCAGGTCTCCCACAACATATTTTTGTAGATTCAGTTGAAATTAAAAACAAAATTGACATAATTGGTCATTTTAACAATCACTTTGTATCAGCTGGCTGTGTCTTCAATGAGTCCAAATCTAGTTATCAGTGCTCAAACTCCAGATCAGAAATACCATTGAAAACCTTTGTTTTTAGACCCATTTCTAAAAAGGATGTCTTTATTGCTTTTAAAGCCATTGACCCAAAAAAAATCAGCAGGACCAGACAACTTAGAACCTTTCTTATTAAAAGTTGCAGCTGAATCTATAGCTAAGCCTATAGCATACATTTTTAATTGTAGCCTGCAGACCAATTCAATTCCTAAAATATGGAAAGCAGCCTATGTGCTTCCTTTGTTAAAGGGTGGCGACCCTTCAGATCTTCACAATTATAGGCCAATTTCCAAACTCTCTATTCTTGCAAAAATTTTGGAGGCTCAAGGAAACTGTCAATTAAAAGACTACTTGGCAGAGCACAACATTCTAACTGATGTACAGTCAGGGTTTAGAGCTGGACACAGCACTGTTACAGCAACTTTGCTACTATTAAATGACATTATAAATGCCTTGGACCAGAAGCAACACTGCGCTGCATTATTTGTGGATCTGTCCAAAGCATTTGACTCTGTTGACCATAAGCTATTACTAGATAGACTAATTAACATTGGCATAGGAAACACAGCTATTACTTGGTTCAAAAACTATCTTACAGAGCGAACGCAATGTGTTTCTATAGATGGTCTTAAGTCAGACTTTTTAGAAATTTCCATGGGTGTTCCTCAAGGTTCGATTTTAGCCCCCATCTTATTTTCTATATTCATAAATAACATTGGAAAGGATGTGCAAACTGCTAAACTGCATCTTTATGCAGATGACACTGTGATTTATTCAGTTGCCTCTTCACTGAACCAAGCCATGCATGACCTTCAGTTGGCCTTTCAGCAGCTTCAAGTTTCTTTACATGGCCTTAAGTTAGTGCTAAATAGTAAGAAAACCAAATTTATGACGTTTTCAAGGGCTCGTTCCCAATCCCCAGATAATATAACTATTAACACATTAAATGGAGACTTAATTGAAAATGTTTCTTCATATAAGTATTTAGGTTTTTGGCTGGACAACAAACTTTCTTTCAAAGTTCATGTTGAAAAACTTGTAAAAAAGCTACGGCTGGGGCTTTATTTTAGAAATAAAACTTGTTTTAACATGTCAGCCAGAAAAACACTTGTGCAGGCTACTTTTTTAAGTGTTTTGGACTATGGTGATGTTGTCTACATGCATGCTGCCTCTAGTACTCTCCACCTGTTAGATTCTGTGTACCATAGTGCTCTGCGCTTCCTAACTAACTCCTATTCCCGTACTCATCATGGTACGCTGTATGAACTGGTAGGCTGGCCGTCACTAAGTCTACGTAGACAACTTCATTTCTATATTTTTCTATGTTGGGTAAACTGCCGGCATATTTATGCAATCTCCTCAAGCTAAATTCCAGCCAATTTCATCTCCGTTCCACCAGGTGGCGCTCTTACCAGGTTCAATTCAATTCAATTCAGTTTTATATAGCGCCAAATTCACAACACATGTCATCTCAAGGCACTTTACAGTTCAACCAGATCATACAGTCAAATTGATACAAAGTTTTCTATCTAAGGAAAACCAGTTGATTGCATTGACTCATTGACTCAAATACAATCCCCCACACTAAGCATGCTTGTAGCGACAGTGGAGAGGAAAAACTCCCTTTTAACAGGAAGAAACCTCCAGCAGAACCAGGCTCAGTGTGAGCGGCCATCTGCCGAGGCCGACTAGGGTTCAAGGAGACAGAAGCAGAGATACAAAAAGCAGCTGTAAAAGGCGGCCCCGTCCAGGAAACACACAGCCAGGCAGACGAGCTCCAAGGCAGCTCCCATGCCAGAGGACGAAGAGAGCACATCCACTCAGTCACGGTCAGAGAAACAGGACCACACTGGAAAACAGGCCGATCTCCAACATCTATTAACAAGGGTGTTGATAGAAGCAGCACAGCTGATGTTTCTTTCTAGGATGACGTCACAGCCAAACAGGAACAGACGAGGCAAAGCTACTCTGAGGAAAAGCAGAGAGAGCAGAAGGTTAGAGATTGAACTAACAGATTCTGCAGAATAGGAGAACAGAGAGAGAATGAAGCAGAATGATGAAATGGGGGTCCCTATGTCCTCCAAAAGTCTAAGCCTATAGCAGCATAACTATAGAGATAGCTCAGGATAACCTGAGCCACCCTAACTATAAGCTTTATCAAAAATGAAAGTTTTAAGCCTAGCCTTAAAAGTAGACAGGGTGTCTGCCTCACGGACTAAAACTGGTAGTTGGTTCCACAGGAGAGGAGCCTAATAACTAAAAGATCTGCCTCCCATTCTACTTTTAGAAATTCTAGGAACCACTAGTAAACCTGCAGATTGAGAGGGAAGTGCTCTGTTAGGAACATAAGGAACAATCAGATCTCTGATATAAGATGGAGCTTGGCCATTTAAGGCTTTATATGTGAGAAGGAGGATTTTAAATTCTATTCTTGATTTAACAGGAAGCCAATGAAGAGAAGCTAGAATAGGAGAGATATGATCTCTCTTTTTCATTTTCATTAGAACTCTGGCTGCAGCATTTTGGATCAGCTGAAGGCTTTTAACTACAGTTTGTGGACTTCCTGATAGTAAAGAATTACAATAGTCCAGCCTTGAAGTAACAAATGCATGGACTAGTTTCTCAGCATCACCCCTGGACAGGATATTTCTAATTTTTGCAATGTTCCTCAGATGAAAGAAGGGAATTCTAGAAACCTCTTTGATATGGGATTTAAATGACAGGTCCTGATCAAAAATAACACCAAGATTTTTTACTTTATTATCTGAAATCAGTTTAATCCCATCCAAATGAAGTGAATGGCTAATCAGTTTCTTTTTCAGAGACTCTGGTCCAAAGACTATAACTTCTGTTTTGTCTGCATTCAGAAGCAGAAAATTAAGAGTCATCCAGGTTTTTATGTCTTCAAGACATGCCTGTAATCTATGTAATGGGTTAGCTTCATCTGGATTTATAGACTGATATAGCTGGGTATCATCAGCATAACAGTGGAAATTAATCCCATGCTGTCTAATAATTCTACCAATTGGGAGCATGTATAAAGTAAAGAGAATTGGTCCTAGCACTGATCCCTGTGGTACTCCACAGGTAACCTTTGAGCGTGTTGAAGATCTATCATTAACATGAACAAACTGAATTCGATCAGATAGATAAGATTTAAACCAGTCTAGTGCTGTTCCTTTAATTCCAACAAAATATTCAAGTCTTTCTAAAAGAATATTATGGTCAACTGTATCAAATGCAGCACTAAGATCCAACAGGACGAGCACAGATACAAGTCCATTATCTGAGGCCATGAGAATATCATTAGTGATCATTAGTGAGAAAACCATTAGGTTCCAATGGTTTTTACTGAGCTGGGGAAGAAATCCTTCTCTTACTTTGCTCCATGGTCCTGGAATAATTTGCAAAACTTGCTCCATTTAAATTATCTAGTCCCATTGAATGAATTTAAGGCCATGTTAAAATGTCATGTAATTCAAAAATGTAACTGCCCTATGTGACCTGTCTTTTCCTCTATGTGAGATTTTGTCTATGTTGTATTTCTGTTTGTATTTTAACTGGTGTGCCGTCTTGGCCAGTTCTCCCTCGAAAAAGAGATTTCAATCTCAAGGGACTTCCTAGTTAAATAAAGGTTACCGTATTTTCTCGACCATAAGGCGCACCGTACTAAAAGGCGCAGTCTCAGTTATGTGTCCCATTTCTGTATTTAACACACACATAAGGCGCACCGGACTATGGGGCGCGTTTTTTATATACAGGTACATGTCCTCTACTACCTTTAAATAGCTCTACTGCGTATTTAAAAATACAGCGGGGGCAAAACTGAGTATGACTGTGCTTTATTCATGTATTTATTACAAAGTATTAATCAAACCTGGGTGCTGGCCGTGAGACAGACACATCGCAGATGACACAGCGCTGTGATCACTCCTAAATTAACTTAAAATCCTGAAACCTGCCGACAGAATATGTTCGCTTTTATTACCGGTATCCTGGTGCCTGCAGTTTAAATTATTTAGATGAAAAACACCTGCCAGCCACTGCATGAACCCGGAGGCTGCCCAGCCTAGAGGCTGCTGATGAAGGGATTTCTACTGTCGGTGCACCGCTGGTATGTGGGGGTCTGAGCGCCTCCGACAGAAATAGATAATCTGAATGAACTGACTGCAATTATGAAGTTTTCAGGTGGACTTTCTCACTAAAAAAACATATTAAAACTACTTTATTCCCACTGATCACAGCAAATATAGCTGCAAGATTTAAATTATTTAGATGAAAAAACACCTGCCAGCCACCGCGGTGAAGAGGAGGAGACCCGGCCAGAGGCTGCTGTTGAATTAAGTTTTCAGGTAGAAAAATAGAGCGGGAGCAAAACTGAGTATGATTGTGCTTTATTCATGTATTTATTACAAAGTATTAATCAAACCCATCAAAGTCATCATCCTCTGTTTCTGAATTAAACAGCTGCGCTAAATCAGACATGCCAGTTTCCCCTTCTTCGCTGTCAGAGTCACTTTCCGTGCATCGCGGCTCCTCAGAAATAATGCCGGCTTTTGCAAAAGCTTGAACAACAGAGCCAGCAGACACGTTAGTCCAAGCATCAACAATCCATCCGCTAAAGGTGGCGTAACTTGCCCGGCGCTGCCTTCCACTTATCCTGAAACTGTGGTCTCCGTCTGTCATCCATCGCTCCCACGCCGCTCGCAGCCTTACTTTGAACGGCCGGTTCACACCGATGTCGAGCGGTTGAAGTTCCTTTGTCAGACCCCCCGGGATAACGGCGAGCACAGCGTTCATTTGATTCACCTTTTTTTTCACATCGGCTGTGAGATGGGCACGCAGTCACAGATTAACAGCGATGGTGATGCGTGGAAAAAAACACCTGGTCTCCTCACATACACCTGCCTCAGCCACGCTTTCATCATCTCCTCATCCATCCAGCCTTTTTCATTTGCCTTAATATCATATGTCATCAGAGCACTGTGTCTGTCTTGCTGTCAGCTCCCAGATCAGCTTCTCTGATTGGTTGATGCGGCGCGTCCAGCAGCAAAACTTCAATTTTTCCATCTGGAGCAGCAGCAGCGCGTTGGCAGATGCTTAAACGCTCCCGACGCACTGCGCCTGCTGCTCAAAACGCGCTGCGGGACCTTTTGCTGCGCCTATACGCGCGTCAACCATTGACTTTGCATGTAAACTCGCTGCTTCTGCTGCACCTGCTGGGTCCAGTTCACACCGATGTCGAGCGGTTGAACGGCGAGCACAGCTTAATTTGTTTCCCCATGTTTTTCACATCAGCTGTCAGATGGGCACGCATGCAGTCACAGATTAATGGTGATGGTGATGAGTGGAAAAAAAACACCTGGTCTCCTTACATACACCTGCCTCAGCCACTCCTTCATCATCTCCTCATCCATCCAGCCCTTTCATTTGCTTTAATATGTCATCAGAGCGCTGTGTCTGTCTCGCTGTCAGCTCCCAGATCAGCTTCTCTGATTGGTTGATGCGGCGCTTCCAGCAGCAAAACTTCAATTTTTCCATCTCGAGCAGCAGCAGCGCGTTGGCAGATGCTTAAACGCTGCTCAAAACGCGCTGCGGGACCTTTTGCTGCGTCTATACGCTCGTCAACCGTTGACTTTGCATGTAAACTCGCTGCTTCTGCTGCACCTGCTGTGTCCGCTTCACAGCAAGCACAGCATTAATTTGTTTCACCATGTTTTTCACATCAGCTGTGAGATGGGCATGCATGGAGTCAGATTAACAGCGGTGGCGATGAGTGGAAAAAAAACACCTGGTCTCCATACATTCAGCCACTCTTTCATCATCTCCTCAATGAGGTGGTCTCAAAAGTCGCAGTTGCAACACACATAGGGCGCACCGCACCAAAGGGCGCACCGCACATTTTGAGGGAAAAAAAAGACGTTTATGTGCGCCTTATAGTCGTGAAAATACGGTAAATAAAAATAAATAACCAGCCTTTATCTGTCATCGAAAGCCCAGGTTTAGGTAACTTGATCGCACTTTATGAGCCACGTTTATTTTAAATATTTGACTTTTTTTATTTTTCTGAATTGAGCAAGATAATGTCCAGATATATATATCGTACATATATACGATATATGTATATATCTTATTCTTTTTAATACGATAGAACAGAGAAATTTTAATAGAAAATAATCTAAAATCTACTAAGCCTCTGACACATATAGCTGTCTCTTCCAGGCTGAGGTTTACAGGAAGCTCTGCTGAGGGTAGGGTGTCTCATTACTTCCTCATTTGCCAGACAGTCACTGTGGTGATGGCTGTAAATGCTTTATTACTTTAATAATTATTAGGCTTTAATAAACAGTTTCAGTGATGTGATCATAGCGCTCTGCTTCAGCACCACTGTCCAAATGTAGGTCGAGTGAACTTCATATCTTCAGGTTGATTAGCAGGATCCACTCGCTCCTTAAACTCAAGGACAGAGTTTGGTGCTCTAATGTGTGTCCCTTATAACCACCAATAGAAAGTTTTTCTGCTGTTTGTCTTTCCAGACCACCTGCAGGATTATGTTGGAAAAGAGGAGGATTTCTCTGACCAGCAGCTCTATGAACAGGAGAGGAATTTCAGTTTGGACCAAGAGGAACCAGAACCTCTGCAGATAAAAGAAGAGCAGAAAGAACCAGAACATCCCTGGACAAAAGAGGAAACCATGGAGCTCCCCATTAGTAAGCAGGAAGAGCAGCTTGTTCTGAAGCAGGAGACTGAAGATACAGGAGAGAAATCTTTCCCATGTCTGACATGTGGAGAAAAGAAAAGAACAGAACATTTAATGGATCACAGTAGAACTCACACAGGTAAGAAGTGTTCTGAATGTCTGTCCTGTGGAAAAATGTTTTCCAAAGTTCACAAACAAATCTAAAGCTGAAAGGCAGATCAGAATTCAAAGCCACCTACAAACCTCCACCTACAAGTGCAGAAATGACTGACTGAGTGCATAACTGTACATAATTATTTGAAGGTTGACTTTTTTGTATTAAAAACCCCTTTTCTTTTATTGGTCGGATGAAATATGCTAATTTTCGAAATATGAAATTGGGGTTTTTAAAGGCTGTATGCCAAAATCATCCATATTAAGACAATAAAATGCCTGAAATATTTCAGTTGATAAAACCAGTGTTTCAGTTGCTATATACTAATATATATTGTTTATTCTTATTGCACCTTTTTCCTCCTTGTTTTGCACCTTCTTTAATTACTATGCCAATATGTGACCAGTGAATTTCTCCGCTGTGAGATCAATAAAGCTCATCTTATCTAATCTAATAATTGTGTGTGTCCGGAGCCGCTACAACCAAGCAACTAAAGCAGAGGTCATGGATTAGCTGACCTGCTGGCTAATCTACATCAATTTACATCAACAACAGCTGGTGTAAAAACGCTAGATCAGTCGCCAGCTTCTTCTCTCCAGACATCGAGTTTCTGACTGTTAACTGTAGGCCGTTCTATCTGCCCAGAGAGTTGAGTGTGGTTAGCATCACTGCTGTTTATGTGCCCCCCGGTGCTAACCATAAAGATGCCATGAAGACTCTATACCACGCTATCTCTGAGCTCCAATCTGCACACAGAGGCTGTTTTCATCATTGCTGGGGATTTAAACCAGGCTAACTTGAACTTGGGGGGGTAATAACTCAGAATGCATAAAATTCCACCGGTAAAATGTTTCCCAATATAGACATGTTAGACATTATTAGAAAGCTTAGATTCTACACAATTCAACCACCAAGATCATTTCATGGACACAGCGAGCACAAAACCACAAAAAAACAGATATGCAGCAGGTCAAAATGTAAACAAATAAAGCAGCCACAACTACATACCTTTGAAGGCATCCAGAAGCCATTTTGTAAATCCACTCTTCACTTGTTTATTGTCCATTTGTCCGTAAGGGTCCACAGATTAAAAATAATCCAGCATATTAGTAATAAAAATATTCCATGATTAGAAAATCGTCGGTTGCTGACATCAGAAAATTTGGCTTGTCATTGCTTATTCTCAGCATCTTGCTAATATTTACTTCTAATATTGATTTCCTTGGTTGTTAGCTCGCAAAGTTTGGTATGGTTCTCCAATCATGCCAGTTACACCGAGGTAATGCCGTCAACAGGGTTTATTTGGAAAACACGAGCTGTTATTCCTGAGGCTACAGCTCACGCCCCTCACAACATGGCTAGCACACACAACCGGTAGCTTCTCTGTTAGCTTTGCTCAACCCGCTCAACACTTCTGGAACCAATGCTCTCCCAGCTCCCCCCCCATATTACAGAGTCAACCAAAGTAAATGCATTAAACAAAGGAACACAATACAAATGACGTATGGACCCCAATAGAACCAAACGCAGAATTGTTACAGTTCTTTACATCGTCTCCTTATCTACAAGTTGCAAGTATCTGCATATTTTTATGACGCGATTTGAGCAAGATAATGTCCCCGGAAGAACTGCAGTGAACTGGTAAAAGAAAAGAGAAATGGCACGCTCAAAGATGACCCTGCACATTTTGAGTATGCCCTGCATGGCTTTAAACCTGGGTTTGAATGGAGACTGAGCCATTCTCAAGCACATATCAAGGTGCTCTTTTTGAGCCTGGATCCAGATTTATTTTTGATTCTGTTCATGGTGGAGAATCCTGCTTCACAGCAGCAGGTTGAGCCAAACATACTCTAAATGTGCAGGGTCCACTTTGAGCACGCCATTCCACTTTTCTTTCACCAGTTCACCGCAGGTCTTCCAGCAGTCCACACTTTCTCTGCTCTCTTTTTCTCATCGTTTTCTCCTTCTTTTAGAAGACAATGATTTCCTTCTAAATCAGGTTTGGTCCGGATTAGCCAGAAGGTGGGTCCAGATCTGGAACGCAGTCAGCTAATCTGTGACCTCTGCATTAAACCATGTCCCACTTTTAAAAAGATAGAAGACAATCTTGAGAAATTGACATTGCTTCACTTATGGGCAGGGTTACTTCGTTTAAGTGATGGTTTTACCTAGAATGAATTACTTATTTTCAATATTCCCTAATAAACCACCATTTGACTGGTTTAAATCTCTCAACTCTATCTCTAAATTTCCTTGGAAAGATAAAGCCCCTCATATCAGCTTGAAGACGCTACAGGAGACCACAGATAGAGGAGGACTAGACCTGCCTAACTTTCATAACTACTATTTAGCAAATAGCTTCAACCTCTAAAGGGATAAAACGTAATCCCTTAAGGGCTGGTTATACTCCCACAGCAGTGTGTCGCAGTGAGTTTGTTGCAGATTTTTTTTATATATGCACAATATTGAAGGATGGTCTGTGCTGTTATTCCACTCTGCAAGGCAAGAGGGACAATTAGCCACTAGCTGTGGGTCTAGATACAGCTGAGGCAGTGAGGAAGTGGAAAAACGCAAGGGGCAAGTTTATGCGACAATGGAACGACATGAGGGTGAAAAAGAGCGGGGATCCAGGTGGGAAAGGGTCCGAGCGTTCTCACGAATCTCACTCTTCTAGCTGGTCCATCTTCACCAGTCGTTTTCCACAATGGCGGTCATACAAACAAAACAAGTCTGCATGGTACCAAACAGGAAATATGCATATTGTAGAGCGGATGTAGATTTGACCAATCAGAGGCCTCCTGTCTCTGGTACTGTCTGCGGTCTGGCAGTGTCTGCGGAGGGGGAGGGGAAACATTTGCGTTCACAGCGACACACAGTTCTAAAATTTCAACCTCCCCATCAGTTAGTTTGATTGGTTACTTTGAGGATAGCTCTTTGAAAAAAAAAACTTATTTGCATGGTTTTCATTACCCTATGAAGGGCCGGTGTTCTGTCATCTCAGCATATCGCGTCAGACCAGCATACCCTTACTAATACCAATTACAAAGAGTATCCTTTGTCTCCGCCCTCCTTACAGCCAATCACGCTGTTTTATTTCCCGATTTAGTCAGATTTGTGTTGTCACTTTGTGCATCAAAAATAAAGAAATAAAAAGATCATCACTAGGTCCACTACACGCATTAGCTTTCAGTGTTTCCCCACAGGATTTTAGGAGACTGTGGTGGGAGAGTCTCTGACCCTCGGGGGGTTTCATGTGTGCACATTTTTAAGTGTGGTGTGTCCAACTTAAAGGGGAACGCCTTTTTTTTTTTTACATTGGCCCCTTGATTTTGTGTTATTACGTCATGTTCTACTAGGAGTGGATAGGTTCACAAAATCCACGGTTCGGTTCACGGTTTTTGGTTCAGTTCGGTATATGTTGATTGTTAGCCTGACATGTTGGTCGTGTTGTTGTTAGCATAAACAAAACGTGTTGCACATTGCTTGCACACTGTTTTTATCCACAACTTTCTTTCCGCCGTCATCGTAGGTCACTCTAAATGCAAAGCGGTCCCATACAGCAGACCTATAAAGTGCTGCTGGCGCGTCTTCCAATTTCTGTTCTTTCCCACTCGCCATACCCACACAATTCTCCACAACAACTAATTTTTTTCTGCTACACCCGGCTACGCTGCTTCGCTTCTTCTACTGGTGGTTGGCTTTGGTCGCAGTACCCCCACCTTCTGCTCTGAAGTGTACACGCTTTGCCTATGAGAAAAAGGAGCAGCGCATGAACCGCACGAAACACAGGGAAACCGAACCGAGACAGTCAAACCAAACGGTTCGGGCGATTTTCATAAACCGTTCCATCCCTATGTTCTAATCTCCCATATTAGTTTTGTGTCATTTGGAGCCGTTCTGAAGATATTCCGTTAGGTTATATCCAGGTAACGTCTTACTATGGGCAACGACTTGAAGGAACAAACTAAACTGTTCATCATTTATTATTTATGGTACACCAGCATTCATAACATGTAGGCCAATCACTGTCTCCCAGACATCCGTGGTTATATTTTTTATATTTATATGTTTTAAAAACAAAGCAGTAGGGCTGGGCGATATAGAAAAAAAGCATATCGATAAAAAGAAAAAATGCATATTGATCGACATCGATAAATATTGAAAAGATTTGAAACCATACTTTATGTGCAGCTCTGCCTGGACTTTTTATAATATTGCCCCCCCCCCCCATTCTTCTAGTTTCCTGCTGTAACCGGAGTTAGTACTTTGAAGTTGCTGGCCCCTCAGCATTTTTCTCTCAAGTGTTACTACTAATTGGAACTACGTGGGAAACTGCCCAGAACTTAATATATATATTTTCCCGAAATTCCTGAAGATTCCTCGGAGGAGAGCCACGTCGGGGCCTCCACAGCTCGTACTCCTGCGGCTGTGAGCGGCTGAGATGATAAAAAAAAAAAAAAGTTGGTTGCGTTATCAGACTTCGTTTTCACTGGTTCCTGACACATTTTACAGATGACTGTGGTTTGTTTTTTGTCCGACTTGCCATGACTGAAATACTTCCATACTGGCGAACAACAAAACCCCTTCTTTGGAACAATTTCCTCCGCCTCTCCTTGCTGCGACATCTTCATGTGCTCTGTGTTGTGGTTTGAGAGGGCGGCGCTTTGTGACGGCGTGCCTGGGTCCGCGACTGTGATTGGTTGGGAGGAAGTAGTGACTAGCATAAACCTACATGCTAGGCTACAATGAGAAGGAAGGAAAACTGCGTTTTTTTATCGAACTTTTATCGAACCTATTTTTTTCTATTGCGCCACACGTCTATCGAATGATATATATCGTTATTGAATTATCGCCCAGCCCTACAAAGCAGTGTGTGTATGACGTCATCTGTGCAACCTGGCTACCGTTCATTCATCCTGTCCGCTGAACTGCTGCTAGTTTTACTCACATGCCTGGAAGATGTCTAGTGCTGCTACCACAGATGATCTTAAAAAATTATCTTTGAACTGAGAAATTTAATTAGAAAATCATTTTAAATCTATTCAGCCTCTGACACATTCAGCTGGGGTCTGTCTCTCGCAGACAGAGGTTTACAGGAAGCTCTGCTGAGGGTAAGGTGTCTCATTACTCCTTCATTTGCCAGACAGTCACTGTGGTGTTGGATGCAAATGCCTTACTTTCTTTAATATTTTTTGTGGGGAAACAATTTTAGGCCAGAGTGAACTTCATGTCTTCCGGTTGCTTGGCAGGATCCACTCGCTCCTCAAACTCAAGGACAGAGTTTGGTGCTTTTATGTGAGGTGTCATTTATTTAACCTACAATAGAAAGTCTTTCTGCTGTTTCTCTTTCAGACCACCTGCAGGATTATGTTGGAAAAGAGGAGGATTTCTCTGACCAGCAGCTCTATGAACAGGAGAGGAATTCCAGTTTGGATCAAGAGGAACCAGAAGCTCTGCAGATAAAAGAAGAGCAGCAAGAACCAGAACATCCCTGGACAAAAGAGGAAACCATGGAGCTCCCCATTAGTGAGCAGGAAGAGCAGCTTGTTCTGAAGCAGGAGGCTGAAGATACAGGAGAGAAACCTTTACCATGTTTGACATGTGGAAAGAACTTTCTTAAAAAAGAATATTTAATGGTTCACGTGAGAACTCATAAAAGTGAGAAGATTTATGAATGTCTGTCCTGTAGAAAAAGATTCACAAAGAAATCTAGACTTGATAGGCACATGATAATTCACATAGGTGAGAAACCTTTTTCCTGTATGATTTGTAGTAAGAATTTTACTCAAAATAGTCATTTGACTTCTCACATGAGAATTCATACAGGTGAGAAGCCTTTTTCCTGTACCATTTGTTACAAGAATTTTACTAAAAAGAGTAATTTGACTTGTCACATGAGGATTCATACAGTTGAGAAGCCTTTTTTCTGTACTATGTGTAACAAGAATTTTACTAAAAAGAGTAATTTGAATTCTCACATGAGAACTCACACAGGTCAGAAGCTTTATAAATGTCTGTCCTGTGGAAAAATGTTCACAGCGAAATCTAGTCTTGATACACACATCAGAATTCACACAGGTGAGAAGCCTTTTTCTTGTACAATTTGTAACAAGAATTTTACCGCAAAAACTAGTTTGAATTTTCACATGAGAATTCACTTAGATGAGAAGCCTTTTCAATGTGTGTCCTGTGGAAAAAGCTTCACTAAGAAATCTATTATCGATAAACACATGAGAATTCACACAGGTGAGAAACCTTTTGAATGTCTGTCCTGTGGAAAAAGCTTCACTAAGAAATCTAATTTTGATACACACATCAGAATTCACAAAGGTGAGAAGCCTTTTTCTTGTACCAGTTGTAACAAGAATTTTACTCATAAAAGTAATTTGACTAGACACATGAGAATTCACACAGGTTAAAAGCTGATTTCCTCAATGATTTGTGACCAAGGTTTTAAACAAGAACGTAATTTTAGTGTCCAGATGACACTTATTCATGCATGATGTTAAATGACATAAAAAAACATCTGTTTCACCTAACTCGCAGTAGTTGGATGCAACAGGAATGAACCGTAGAGGTGTTTTCCATGTTTGATGGGTGATAAAATGTCCATCTAGTAACTCCTGCACCTCATTAAATGTGAAACTTACAGGTTAATGGTCTTTTGAGCAACGTTTTGAGAAAGCCATTAACTAACAGGTCTGTTTACATAGCAACTAGAACAGATAAGGTGATATATTGTAACCCTATTAAATATTCAGGTCCTGGGCCAATATGTGGATGTGATAATTTGAAAGTCAATTAATGCAACAAGCAATTGAGAGGTTATAGCTGTTTAAATTGGAGGGAAAAAAATCAAGATGAACCCCTACTGTGCCATTTTGGTATGGTGTTGCAAGACTTTTTCTGAATGAATTTATTCAGAAGAAAAACACAGAAGTTTCATTTTACTTTTAGCTGGATGATAAGCTATCAGTTGGATATATTCCAGAAACAGAATTTTATTCAGATGAATATAAAAGCAAAGGTACGGCAGATTTCATATGTCTTGCACAAATTTGCTAATGTTGTGGGATTTTTTTTAAAGAGGTCAGCTGCAACTGATCCGAGTTTTGGTAATTCAGTATTTTGTTGGCTTTTTTTTTTTTTTTTTTTTTATAATGCCAATTCACAACACATATCACCTCAAGGCAGTTTACAGTTCACCAGATCATACAGTCATACGCCGTACACACATTTGCTCCTCCCACCACAAAGGAGGACCAGGCACCTGGACCTGGTACTTGACCCCTAAAGTTGAAATGGGAAGGGGAGAGACTCCAACACAACCCAATCTTCCCGGTCCTTGCAACGGTCTCAGCCCCCCATCCCCCACCCGGATGAGAAGGCCCATGGCACAGGCCCCCAGAAGACAGTGCCAGCAGAACCAGCCTCAGTGTGAGCGGTCATAATCCGAGGCCAACTGGGTTTCAAGCAGTATACAGCAGTAAACTATTTTCCACACTAGTTAGCATTCCCGTAGGCCTCTGGAGCATGGTTGTCTCTCCATTTTCCTAGCAGTTTGCAGCTCTGCATTAAACCAAGGAGCCAGCTTTCTATTTTAAAGTTTTTCTTTTTCAAAGGAGCTACTTTGTCTAAGGCAGTACACAGAGAACTAGCAACCCTATCAACAAAATAAACCTGTGAAGGGGAATAAGCTAAGCTTTTACACTCTGCAGCACTGCTCAGCAAAACAGAAGAGAGAGAAAGTAAAACAGATCCTCTAAAATTTATAACTGCACTATCTGATAATGATCTGCTAAAGTGAAAACTTTTGAGGGAGGAGAACTCTGTTAAAGTAATCTTTAAGGTTATTAAAAAATGTTGAGAAGGCAGGGCTGTGAGAAAATATTATTTCTTCACATTCTATGCCATATGTCAGAACTGTCATGAATTTCTTAAGAGATCTAACCCACATGCAGTAAACCACTCAAAGCACCAGGGTAAAAGTTTGAACAGGTTTATCGATAAGGACAGCGGGGGTTGGATTCAGGAAACTCAGTGTCCTGGAGAACCAGAACTGGAAGAGGGAAGGGAAGTATCAGTGGTTAGTTCAGGATCCGATGGCTGGAGAGACAGAGAAAACAGGACTCACGTTGGTTGAGAATACCTCTTCTCCCAGAATCCAGTTAGTGTGGGTTGATCTAGTGAAGAGGGGACTCGGAGAGTGGACAGATAGACTTTTGTTGGACCCAGAGGAACTACTGAGTGGACTGCTCAGCACGAGACTCAAACAATCCTTCTAGGGGAAGAAGGCCGAGCATCCAGCTTGCAGTAAGGCTTCCTGCTGAAAGGGCAAAGACAAAAAAAACAAGGTTAGGCCCAGTGAAAACAAAGACTCAGTTAGACTCAGCTAAACTCAGCTTGGTTAGAGTACCCAAAACTGGCAAACACTCTGACCTCGAGGTAGTGACAGCCCACTGCTTAAATACTCCTCCAGATAATGATCCAACAAGCCGCAGGTGTGCAGGGAGGCCGAACAAGGACGGGGCACCACCTGATGGTGGAGAAAAAGAAACACAAAAACAGACCACACAAACTGGATTCCTGACAAGAACAAGGCCCAAAGTATGAAGATGAGAATGTGTGGGACTATTCACATTTTGAACAAAGCCAATAGCATCTAAGATAGCATTATAAGCTGCTCTTAAGCTATCACCTGTAAGTCAGCATGGATGTTAAAATCCCCCACTATGATGCCCCTGTCACTATTTAACACCAAATCAGAGAGGACTCTGAAAACTTATCTAAAAATTCAGAGTAAGGATTTGGTGGACGATACAAAGGTACAAAAAGAAGAGGTTTTCTTGCTTTGCAATTTGGATGAAGGAAAATAAGGGTTAAATATGCAAAAGAGTTGTATTTTTTAACTGCTTTTGGAGTAATCTGTAAGTCAGACTAAAAGATTGTTGCTACTCCTCTTCGCCCAGACCCTCTGGTGAACATTTAAATAACTAGAAGGAGTTGCCTCATTTATGCTCACATAATCCTCTTGCTGCAGCCAGGTTTCTGTAAGGCCACATAAGTCAATGTGATTATCAAAAATCAAGTCATTAAATAGCATCGCAGGTAATAGTTAATGACTTGATTAATGACATCTGCATATATATGAATTTTCTTGGTTAGTACATCCACTCACTGTGAAATTACGTGTGAAACCTTTTTCCCACAGCCGGCAAACTGCTTGTTTTGCAGCCAAATGCTACACCAGTTGGCATTTTTATGGCCATGGGAGTGAGGAGTACCAATGTGGCAGCCTATGGCTTCACTTTTTTGGGCTATCAGCAATCCATTGTATGAATAGAGGGGACGTACTGCTCTCAGTTTTAAACCTTATACGGAGATGGGACCATTGCACTCCGGAAGTGAAGGGGGCACTAGTGGCACTATTTTCTATACCAGCTGTGTTATAATATTTATAATAATAATAGCACATTTTATTTGGCAAAGCCTCTCAACACACTCAATAACAAACTACAAAAGGTGTTAATAACAATCTAAAATAGCAACAATAAGGAATCATTCTTGACTGTTTCTATCCCTACACCCTATCTATCCCAAACAAAAGCCACAAAACATAAATTTGATTAATATTTTAGAGACAAATGTTAGTTACATTAAGAACACATTTATTCATCCATTAATTGTCATACATGCACTCTTATCCCTATAGTAGGGTCATGAGGGCTGCTGCGGTGGACCCTGGAATGATTGCCAGTCCATTGCAGATAAAGAACATCGATATACCAAATGCTTGCTGGTGCTGAATTTGAAATAATAGATTTAGATGTTGTAAATGGTACTCTTAAAATAAATAAATTAAAATCTGAAATATAATAGCCTTTGCCTTATTTAATAAGGACAAGATGGAAAAGAGGTTTGGTTGGTAATACATTTAGTCAACTTAGTATGTCCATTCATTTTGCACTTTTATTCTTTTTATTCGATATTTTTTCTTATTATTCACATTTTGAATACAATTTACAAACAAACCAAAGGACTCCTAAACTTCTAACATGTACTATGCCAAAAACTATATGCTTGGCTGCAGGTGACCTGGCTCAATCATTGTCATTCTTTATCCTGGTGTCTCATTGCAAACTTTTCTTATATGAACTACAGCTTAACCAGTAAACTCTTTGGTGTCCCATTATCCCATTTAGAAACTCATCAATTCTACCAATTGCAATTGATTCATAAACTCCAAATACTTTTATTTTCCAATTGTGGCAAGACCCAAAGTGATTCATTTAGAAATTTAAATGTAGCTTCAACCGGCAAAGACTCACACAGAGAGAAAGTAGGTTTTAGAAAGTTTGACAAGAAATAATCTTTGGCGCTCGGATCCTGGCAGTAGACATTGCGCTGGTTACCGCCATAGTGAATGATCCGCTGTTGATGAGTTATTTTTTCATTTTTTCTATATATATGTATATATATATTTGTATATATATGTATATATCTATATATATATATATATATATATATATATATATATATATATATATATATATATATATATATATATATATATATATATATATATATATATGAAAAGCTTTTTGAATAAAGTCACTGGATGTATAAGTTAAACCAATCTGTAACTTCTCATTATAACTGTCCTCATCTTACCTGCTTAGCCAATCACCTGATCATGCACCTCCAAACCAGCCTAAATATCCAGGATATTAGATGTAACAATAGGATTTTAAGTAATTTCGTCTTAAAATAACTTTTCCCAAATCAAATGATAAGACATTACATTTTAAAGGACTTTACAGCAGATAAGATCATTAAAATAAGAACTAATTATATAACTTACCCTCTGCCACCAAAAGCTAAAGGGATGTAATACAAAATTATCAATGAATTACCCAACTAAATAGTTTTTGATATCTAGGTTTAAGTTAAATTCAGAATATTGGGCATTTTGCATGAGAAACGTTGAGAGTTTAAAACATTTATTCTTCTTTTGTGAACAAATTTTTAAATTCTTTAAACTTTAAGAACATTGTTTTGTCACCACATTTTATTTATTTATTTATTTTTAAGTGAAAATAAGGCTCCTGAACATTTAGGAAATTGTCTTACACTGATGGGTTTTTTTTTATATACAGAGATGTAGGTATTTTAAAATAAAGCCCACTTTTAGCCATTGGAAAAATGACTGATTTATTTTACAAATCTCTAAGACTGACTAAATCCAAACCTGCTGTCCAGTTATCATCCTTGTTGGAACACTTTGATTTAATTTAAGACTGTCCTCTGTTATTACTTTACTGTAGAACTGTTTTTTATTATTTTATTTTGGTCATAATTCAAGTGTATAAGTGATGGCATGTTTATGATGTCTTGTGTTTGATTTATTTTAGGGTCTTTATTATTTATTTGTTTGTGCAACGATGCTCCATTTTATAGTTTACAAATCTTTAAGAAATGTTTTATGACTTTTCTGAGACAATTTTGATTCTTTTTATATTTTCTTCATCATCATGGGACAAAAGAGATGAATATCTTATTAATAGCATTATCATCACTTTCAAATTTTATATACATACATGCAGATTTGGAAAAGCTAAACCGATATGGTCTGTATTTAAACAGGAGATCCATCTTCTAAATCTTTCCTTGGACAAAATTCAGAAACAAAAAGTTTGTCATATCACCTCTCTAATTTATTTAATCCATACACATTAAAGAATAATGCTTACTTGGTTGGGGTTTTTTTTGTGTGTGTGTGTTTTTGTTAGGGTTGTTAAGTTTCCCCAACTTTAACCTATAAAAAATTAAACATAGACAGTGTAAGATTTTTCCTGTAATGCTTTGCAAAGGGGAGATAGACAGAGTTGAAGAATCACTCTCTGCATCTCCGCTTGGCTTGACACTTGCCGGGCTTTTTATTGAGCAGTCAACACATTACAACAGCAGGCGTTAGTTTCGATTACGCAACCTCTTAGACATAGCATGAACTTTTAAGATAGGGAACTTGTCTGGTTTCAGTATACACTTTAAAAAAGGTGTCGGGGTTATAAACTTCCACTTCTGTGTTTCTTAAATGAAAAACAGGAACTTCTGTGTTTCTTAAATGAAAAACAGGAAAGCATTCTTGCAAAACATTTGACCGTCTTATGACCTGCATACACTATTTCCAGTGATGAGAGTAACATATAGAAAAACAAATGATTGAGAGCAATATAAAACATATAAATTAATAAAATGATAAAAACAACAGAAATCATAACTCCAACAGTTTTGTATTTTTTATTATTTTTATTTATTAATTTATCTTTCATTATAATTCTGTTATATTCGATGTATGTAATTAAAGATATCCTTGATTTTCTACTTTTTTTTCTCTCTTTCTGAAGTATTGCATAAACTAAACATCTGTTTACTTCGCAACTTCAAAGAAAAAAAAAATAAAGAAAATTGTTAGGAGGTATGATTGACTATATGTTGTGCTTTATTATACTGTAGTGATTGAGTTTGTCATTGTTATTGTTCCAAATAAAGTCAAAAAAAAAAAAAGCTAACTTCTGGTTGATAGATTAACTGGTTGAACAAAACTACGAAAAACTATTAAGAGCCTTGAAAAGCAAAAATAAAAAGGTGTAACTCTTGATGCCAATAGAGAACTTAATCCATCAT